CCCCCCCACAGACCGTGACAGACACTCACGTGACCCATCACAGACCGTGACAGACTCTCACGTGACCCATCACAGACCGTGACAGACTCTCACGTGACCCATCACAGACCGTGACAGACATCTTAATTAATTAATTAGTATTTAATTAATTAATTGATTAATTAGTATTTAATTAGCTAATTAACCGTCACAGACCGTGACAGACAGGGTTTGGACCCATCACAGACCGTGACAGACAGGCTTTGGACCCATAACAGACCGTGACAGACAGGCTTTAGACCCATCACAGACCGTGACAGACATGCTTTAGACCCATCACAGACCGTGACAGACAGGGCTCTGGACCCATCACAGACCGTGACAGACAGGATCTAGACGCATCACAGACCGTGACAGACAGGCTTTAGACCCGTCACAGACCGTGACAGACAGGCTTTAGACTCATTACAGACCATGACAGACAGGGCCCTATACCCATCACAGACCGTGACAGACGGGGTCTAGACCCATCACAGACCGTGACCGACAGGCTTTAGACCCATCACAGACCGTGACAGACAGAGCTCTGTATCCATCACAGACCGTGACAGACAGAGCTCTGTATCCATCACAGACCGTGACAGCGAAACTGTACTTCTAAAGCATCAGATAAACGGTTAGCTACAAATGTATTGCAAAGAAATAGAACAAAACGATTTCCACTTAATTAGTAACAGCAGATCCATCGTGTTTCACATTTTTAATCCCACAAGGGATTGCGCTAACAGCTTTTTTTTGTGAACTGTTAAACTTATATGAATCTTGCAATTCAAAACCTTAGAATGACTAAATATACTTAATTTTATTAATGTACAGATTCATAAAAACAGAGTCGTACAAAGAAATCAATACTTTATAGATTTCCGAATGAAGTTTTATTTTATTCAATATGGCTATCTGATTGAGTGGACTATTTAATTGCCATATGCTACTATAGTGTTTTGAACTTTGGTGATAAACTAGGTATAAATCTTTAAGAGTTCTTGTGAGCTCTTTGTTTTACTATGCTGAAGCATGCTAATACATTCGATACGTAAAAATGCTCTCTTGTAACAAGAACAATATTCTCCTTCCCTCCTCCTTTTTCGAAGACTATCCTCTAAAAAATTTTTTTCAGAATCCTCTTCTTTCCTCCTTTTTCTCAAATGATCGTTCACATGCCAGTATATCACAGATCATCGAGCAACGGATCATGTAACAAAGTAGCGATATTCTTCATGATCAAGTAAACAGTTCTCATTTTAAAAGAGAGAAAGACTAACCGTCTTTCATATTAGGATACAAGGATGGATGTGGTTGTCAGTGTGAGTATAACTGATGAGAAGAATGACACCCATCCGAACTCACATCCTTCACGGAAGATTCGCTTACACTCTGCATTCACACATACATTCCTCATGTGATTATGGTGTCAGGTCTAGAAAATAAAAAAAGTACAAAAGTTCAGAAATTTCTTGTTTTCATCAAGTTATGTTGATAATTCAGTTAAAACTACTAATATTAATAGTATTTTACAGAATTAAAAGCATTATAATTAATGTCTGTTTAAGGTATTACCAATAAGGAGTATTATTTTGAAATAGTTGTTAACTTAAAATCACCTAAATCCTGTGTATCATTACTACTATCAAATTGTGTTACTTCATAGGTGACCGTACCACCAAGCAGTTTACCATTTCCAAAAAGAGATCGTACTCCGACATTGAATGCATAAGTACCTGGTGATAAATAAATCATTGCAATACGCGTTATAGGTACGCTTGTATCTGCGTTTGTGTTATCATAATAAAAACCACCTATCCAATCTGTTTGTCGATTGTTTACTCCCGAAAGCATTGCTACTCGTTGATCCGTATTCGGTATTAAACGATTACAAATAATCAAATAATCATTGACCATTATTTGAACATATTGATCAAGACGCTGCTGTTTGAAGTTATACAGACTGCCTTGAAATGTGACTTTGAACAAAGTATTTTGTGTGACATGAAATGCTGCATTCAGTTGTGGTGCATAAACAAAATTATCGCTTGGTGAAAATAAAAATACATCCTGTGTATTTTGATACTTAACAAATGCCTGATAGAAATGTTTTGAAGATGATGAAACAATTTTTATTGCAGTTTTTGATGATATTTCTGCTCCTAAATCGAAAAATGAAACAGGCGGGAATCATTCTAATAATCTTCTTTTCGAAACAAATATTTCCAAGCAGCACTACAAACTCACCTTCGATTAATACTGTCGTTACTAGTATAAGAAGTATTGATATGAAATTCATCATTCACTCTTTTAACTTTCTTGTAGAATAAAGCAATGAAAAATTCAGTAAACGGCCTATATACCGCGAAAGAGAAAGAGGAACATGCGAGTGAGAAAACATTGAAGATTAGGTTTCAGATTTACTTTAACGAAGTAATGCAAATATGATTTGCATAATTGAGTAGATGACTCTTTAATATTCAGTTTTTGGTATTACCAGATGCAATATTTTTATGACCAAGAGAAAAAAATTCAAATTTTTTGTCATTACTATGATTTAAGATACTGGCTCACGTCAGCAAAAGTTTCGAACGACTAGAGCAGCGTTGTCAATTTAGTAATTCAGGTCCAGACAATTCATAAATGGACATTACTCACGCTTCATATGATACTTCATTACAATTCATTTTTTATTTAATAAAGTATCCCTCTTGTTATTTTGCTTCTCTATAATCGAAATAACTCAACGACCAATTCATCAATTTATTTTCATATTGATCAAGCTTCTATCCTATATAACACATAATCGTATTCTGGAATTTTAATATTGAGAAGGTTCACATAAGGGGTGTTCCGGAAGTTCTAAAACGATTTTAAAATTCATCGTTCTCGCATTCTGCAAAAGCAAATTTGTTGAAACTTTGGTAGATTGTTGTACATATATAGTACTACATAACTACAATGTTTGAGATCTATAGGTTGTACTATGGATGAGAAACTGTAACAACACTGACATGTACTATTTTTTAAATTTTCCTGGTCATCTTCGAGGTGTGCAACATTTTTTTATTTCGTCTATATCTTGGCTTAGGTAAATGATAAAATCTTGAATTTTTCTTTAAAAGATGCGCCGTGAAAAGCTCTACAAAAAGTGCAATAACAAATCCCTATTGACTTTGTGTTAATGGTTTCTGCCATACTCAAAATGAAAAACCTGCATGGTAGTACTACTTCTCACCATATTATGCGTAATAAAAAAAGGTTTGGAAGACCTTTCTGCTTTCCAATAGGAATTTGTTTATATAGCTTTTGTAGAGCTTTCAACGGTGCATCTGTTGAAAAAGAAATCAAGATTTTATCATTTTTTCAAGCTGAGATATATGCAAAACAAAAAGTTCCTCCAAACATTTTTTGTTACGCACAATATGGTGAGAAGTAGTACCATCATGTAGGTTTTTCATTTTGAGTATGGCAGAAACCATTAACACAAGTCAATAGGGATTTGTTATTACAATTTTTGTAGAGCTTTTTACGGCGCATCTTTTTAAAAAAAATTCAAGATTTTATCATCTACGTAAGCCGAAATATAGATATTTCGGTAGACCCGGAAGACAGGAAAATGCTAAAAAGAGTACATCATAGTGTTGCTACAGGTTCTCCTCTACAGTAGAACCGATAGATCTCAAACTTTGTAGTTATGTGCCTCTACATATGTGCAATAATATGTCAAAGTTTCAAAAAGTTTGCATTTGTTGAATGCGAGAACGATAAATTTTAAAATCGTTTCAGAACTTCCGGAACACCCTTTATTATCCAACTCATTGCTTTCGTCTGTGAACATAGATGTTGACGACTTTTGACGAAAGGAAGGGATCACTCGCACCGACATCCTCACGTCTCTATTCACTGAACCCGACACATTCAAAACCAAGACCAAATGTTTTTTTTTTATTATGATCAAAAGAGATCAATCGCAATATGCGATTATTAAAAATTAAATACAATAAGCTTTTTATTTTTCTTTTGTGGATAGAGTGTGAGGTTTAGGTGTGGGTATAATTATAAACACACTTCCAGATACCCACACACCCTCACGTACTAAACAAAGTATGCGCAGAATAAAATTTATGTTCAGACATATTAATGAGAATATCATATCTTTGCAAAATACACTTTATAAGCAAGAAACACAAAACTTTCAAACCATTCAGCAACATATTGGATAATCTTCAATTATACTATTTGATCGAAGTTATGGACCATATAATTTTACACTTTACAAAATTTCTTTCAGGAAAACTACAGTAATACTGAAAATAATTTGGTAAATAAAAAAAACAGACTGTGCTTTCTCTATACACTCCGACTAACATTAATCTTTATGGTTTTGTAGAATGCTGCTCTCGCACTCTAGTGTTGACAGTATCCTGAATATTTTCGTCATCATGATGTGTTTGATTAGATTTAACTATCATAAGCACGTATTTGTTCAATTTTTATTTTTATCAATTGTAAAACAAATTGATAAAGAAAAACTGTTCACAGTGTTTAAAATCTTCAAATACATAATTATTTTTACTTATTCAATTGAACAACATTTATTAAAATCTATTCACTAATAAAACCATTTTGTATGAAAATTTTCATATATTTAGTAAGATTAATTTTCTTTTTTTGGTAGTTCATACATTACATTATTTTCATTAGAAATATCCAAAAGTTTCTTTGGGATTTCTGATATAAATTGTGATCATTGACACGTTTCTTGTTGAACATAGTTTGAGCGTGTTTTAGAATAAAATAAATGCAAATATCATTTTGCTCGAGTTATTACAACATACATTAAACGACCTTTGATATAGAATAAAAAAGCCCAACATTATCTATTAGATTCGATCAAAGAAAAACGGAAAACTTACGTTCTTCTTCGATATCAGTTTCCAAAAAAATTTAACGGAAAAAGATTTTGAACTAAATAATAAAAAACAAACAATTGTTTAGAAACCTTTTATCTATATTATTAGTTATGTGTACGTTCTAAGAAGAATGTATTAATTCGTATTGAAACTTAATACTCTATAACATTTTATGCAGTGTCAAAGTCAAAGAAGAAATGATACTTCAAAAGCAATCATTTAGCTTAAGTTTTTCAAAACATCAATATTCTTGTTACAACTAAAAGTTTGAAATATTTATACATATCAAAGCAAAACAACTACAAAAAAAGTCAAATCTATTTCAGAAATGTTGTCTTTCGTATCACGATTCGAATATTAAAATCAATCTCTCTTTTTTTTAGACTTCGAAAAAAAAACAAAGACTAATATGGTTTGATTGATTTCAATGTAAGATTATGATTGATTATGGATTGTGTAGTGGCAATAGCTATCATTTCAGTGCTGATATTTAATAAAAATCGAAGACTATTTTGAAAGAAGAAAGAACAATCACTTCAAGTATCTTCATCTAAATCTGTCAAGATTTTGTTTAAAAATTCATTTGTCAAAAATCTATTCTCTTATTTTTAAGTATTCGGGTCAATGATTAAAATTCTAATTTGATTGATTAAACTGTTTCTATGAATGAAACATAGTCGAAGAAGAAATATTCAATAAAGTGAAATAAATTTACCAAGTCCAGCAATAAATACATAATGAAATTCTAATCCTTTTGCACAATGTATAGTCATTATTTGTACTCTTTCTGTTTCATCTGTTGTATCCAATTTTCCATCGGTAGCATTTGTTGTATCTAATGTAATAATACTAAGATATTGTGTAAGATCATTTGTATTATATAATTGTGAAAATTGTTTCATAGCATCAGATAGTTCATTTAAATTTTTTAAACGTTCAACTTCTTTTTTTTTCTATATGATTCCATTAAACCTGATTGTTCAAATATATATGAAGCTTGTTCATATAATTCCATTGTTTTATTTTTTTTCTGTTATCATTTTTTTACATCGATTTATTAAATTAATAAAATTAAGAATTTTTTTTGTTTTGATAAAGATGAATCTAATTTAACATATTGAAATAATGAACAATGTTTTCCTTTTGCACCATTTCCAATTTTGTTTAATGTTGTTTTACCAATTGAATGTGGTGGAAAATTAATTATACGACGAAATGCATCATTATCATTTTCATTTTGAATTAAATGAACATATGCTAAAGCATTTTTTATTTCAGTTCGTTGATAAAATTTTATTTTACCATAAATACGATATTTGATACTACTATTCATTAATGCTTGTTCAAATTCATGTGATTGAGCATTTGTACGATAACGAATTGCAATTTGAGATAGAGAAATTTCTGGATCACATTGATGAAAATCACGGATTACTGTTGCAATATGTTGAGCTTCATCAGTTGTATTAATTGCTTGACATAATTTAATTTGTTCTCTAGTTTTAATTTCAGTCCAAAGATTTTTACCAAGACGGGAATGATTGTGTGCAATAACTGCATTTACTGCTTCAAGAATAATATTAGTACTTCGATAATTTTGTTCTAATTTAATAATATGTTCGGGATTTTCTCTCTTTAAATAAAATACATTTAAATATTCTTCTATATTATTAATCGATTGAGCTCCACGAAATGCATAAATACTTTAATCATCATCACCTACAACCATAAAACAATTTCGAATAATTTTATTTCGCTTATATCTACTCATCATTACTTTTAACCAATCCATTTGTAATGTTGATGTATCTTGAAATTCATCAACAATTATTAATTGAATTTTTTTCGAATAATCTATTCGTAAATTAATTTCTTTTTCAAATAATTCTCTTGTTAAAAGTAGTAATTCACTGAAATCAACTTTATTTTCTTTATGAACATATTTTCCATATTTCGTATAAATTAAATGTTTATAACGATTTTCATTCTTAGCAATTATATTTGATGAACGTTTACCTTCTTCTTTACATTTATTTATATAATCAACAATAGATTTTGCTTTGTCTGTACAAATATTATTTTCAGGTTTTTTATCTTTAAGGCTCCCCCCTCAAAAAATCTATTTTTTCGCAAAGTAATCGAAGTCGAGTTTTTACCATAGAAAGATGCAGCGAAGTTTCTTCTTTCAGAATAGATATGAACTTTTAAAAAAAGGTCAAATTTTTACAGACGTTCGTAGGAGATTTCCACCTCACTACCCCGTTTTTGGATTGCTTTTCGCGGTTTTTGTTATTTTGGGGAAGACTACTGTTTTACTTCTATCAGCATGAAATCAGCATTCTTATATCATATAGTGCGACATGTAGTACTAGCTTACGCCATCTATTACGTGCTTTCAAAAATTCCACATATATATTATCAATATACCATTATTTCCTGCATTTGAATGAAAAAATCCATTGCTAAAACTTCTTTAGCAGTTTTCTCAGAACATGGGTTCGACGGAGTATCTCCAACGCCATTCCATCGCGGTACTATATTAAGTCAAACATTTTTTTTTGTTTGAAAGCTCGTGTTTGAGGCTAGCCTACCTCGTGACCCTTTATTTAAAATAAGTCCTTTTATTATTATATAAGAAACCATCTCTATAGAAAAAGCCCTATTTTTAGGGGTTTTTTGAGTCATTGAACTTGCCATCCCTTTCCTTCGCTTAAAAAGTATGAATTAAAAAAAAAGGGCCACGAGATAGGCTAGCCCTAGAGACAAGCTTTCAAACAAAACAAAAATTAAATCACTAGAATGAAGACCCACAGAGAAAACTTAGAGATACTATTGAGCTATTTTTGACTCTTGTTTGGTGAATATCTCTGTTAAACATCGTGCTTTATGACTGAAAATTTTACCATAGTCATGACTCACCAGCCCCAACATATCCTGAAAGTTTCATGCAATATGGATGTTCCTGGCCTGAGATTGATTTTTGAGGGGGGGCCCTTAAGAATTTTTTTAACAATTGTTAATTGATCATCAGGATCAATAATTAAAAACTGACTATTAAGATCAACCATCTTATGATGAATACGTAAAAAACGATTTGCAATTCCATGAAAGGTTCCAATCCACATGTGATTTAATTGTATACCGGGTAACATTTCACTTATACGATGACGGATTTCAAGTGCAGCTTTGTTCGTAAATGTAACAGCTAGTATTTCACATGGTTTTATATTACAATTTTTTAATAAATACACAAAACGAAATGTTAATAAACGAGTTTTTTCACAACCAGCTCCACTGAGAACAAGTGTTGATTGATTTGTTGAACAAGTAACAGCACGTTTTTGTTCAGGATTAAGATCATGTAAGATTTTATCATCATTTATTTCGTTTGTTATCGGATTCGTTGTAAAAGATACTTCAGTTGTTTTCGTTTTTCGATACATATTTATTTATTTTTTTGATGGATTCTATACGCAACTTTTCACGCCTCTATACAGAGCACAACATTGTTCCTTTCTTTAAATATTTTACTTTTGCCTTCTATGTTTTGCTTTCATTCATTAAGGATATTCGCATCAATTGCTCTATATCGGTGAGTTTTTGCTTCTTAGTACTTAACTACGTGAATAGAATTCAATCTTACCAACACACCAAGCAGGATTTCGTTCTCACAGAAGTACAATATATAACATCGTGAGGCTGGAGAGATTCGTATCTGAACAGGGTGGGAGTGTTACTGTGGGTGGGTGACGGGTGGGTGTGGGTGTGGGTGCTTGACGTGTGGGTGTGGGTGGGTGACGTGTGGGTGCTTGACGTGTGGGTGTGGCTGGGTGACGTGTGGGTGCTTGACGTGTGGGTGTG